TAACAGGACTGATGCACGTATGAACTTACAGAGACTGTGACAGCACATACAAGACCTTCACACGTTCACACCAGACAAAATCCAAGTACTGAAAAGAGGATGTAGACAAATGTCCCACCCATAACCCAAAGGCTCTTTGCAATTGAAACCTGCAGGGAAAAAGAAAATCAATTTTCTCCAATAGAATGTTACCATGTATATCAATCACACTCCCAGGTAAGCCCATGCCCAGGAAGAGTTAACCAACAAAAATGGACTCCGTGTTTTTTGTATAACTTGTGTTTTTGTATTATTTTGTCTTATTGTTTTTGGTTTTGATTTTGTTTGATTCATTGAGAGAGAAAATGATCATGAAGCTGGTGCATAGGAAGGTAAGGTAAGGAGGACTTGTGAAGAATTGGAAAAAAGGAAAAATATGATCAAAACATATTGTATGGAAAAATTAGAGAAAAAAGAAAAGTGTTATCCGGGCGGTAATGGCGCATGCCATTAATCCCAGCACTCAGGAGGCAGAGGCAGGCGGATCTCTGGGAGTTCGAGGCCAGCCTGGTCTACAAGAGCTAGTTCCAGGACAGGCACCAAAGCTACAGAGAAACCCTGTCTCGAAAAACAAAACAAACAAACAAACAAAAAAAAACAAAGAAAAGTGTTTGGCATATACTGGCATGTTTGTGAGAAGCCAACAGAAGCTCAGCCATAGAAAACTGATCCTTGCTGGGTGGTGGTGGCACACATCTTTAATCCCAGTGCTTAGGATGCAGAAACAGGCAGATCTCTGTGAATGTGAGGGCAGCCTGGTCTACAGAGTAGTTCCAGGACACACAAGTATGTTATACAAAGACACCCTGTCTCAAAAACCCAATAAAATAAAATAAAATGATGAGAGAGGAAGGGAGAACAAAAATTAATCCTCTATTGAAGAAAGATTTTTCATTAGACATTGATGTTCAAAATGAATCTGACTTGAAACTAACAACTCATAAATAATAGCACAATTAATTAAATGATTAGACTATACCAGAGACCATGCTGTGCTACTTAAGAACTAGCATTGCAGTCTAAGGCTTCTCGTTCATTTCCCGGCCGCCCAGACCTGAAATAACTACACAGAAACTATATTAATTACAGCCCTGCTTGGCCAATTAGCTCACGCATATTTCTAGCTAACTCTTTAAAAAAAACAGGAGAATCTACAACATGTATTGTTTACTACATCTACCTTTAACATACTTTGTGCACTTCTAAACACCTAGAAGGAATGGATGTTTCAGATGAGGACATAAATTTGTCCCCTATATACACAGTAGCGTCGAAACCACACACATATAACAATGATTAGATCTCAAAGTGTCTTCTGCTGAGAGCATTCTGGTCTCTGACTTTTTTCTTCAGCCCCTCCCCTGTATCACAAGACACAGGCTCCTGTCACTTGGATGATACTTTCACAACTCTTCAGAAGACAACCTTGCTGTGAATTTTAACACTGAGTACACAGAAGACAAAACTCTACCTTTGTCATATTCTGGCAAGTTAATACCTAGAAACTAGGTATCATAAATGAGAACTCCTTTGTCCAGTATGGACAGTATATACATTGTAGCAAAGTTAAATGTATATAACATACAGAGTGATGGGTAAGCTAAAAACATCTAGCACACTAATGGGATTTTTGCAGTTCCCTTCCCCCCACCTCCTCAGTCGACTGAACAAGTCCAGCCTATGCAATGTTCTCGGAGGAGGGTTAACAACTCTACTTCTAAACATAGTATCTCCAGTTTTGCAAAACTATTCAAATAAAATATTATTCTACTACTTCTGCTTTTAAATGTATCAAACACTTAAAATACCTAGATAGATCAGATATCTCATGTAAGATCTTATCTGCTATCCACCCTGAACTGACAAGTAAAACTGTATGCAAAGCAATGGTTATTTTCTGAGGTGTCTTCTAAATATAACCATCTGGGCTTTGACCCACTTTCTTCTCCCTTCTCTGCTTTCAAGCCAGTAGACAAATAGAGACATAGGCAATGCTCAGAAATAGCTGAACAAATTCATATCCCCAAATCATTTACAGAGCAATCTTTCCTATAAGTTAACAGTGTATGCAATGTGCTAATTTTACTACGTTGTCATACATTGGCAACCTCTTTAACATCTAGAGATGAGAAGCTGAAAATTTTAGGCATGTGTCCATTATATACAGAATACACACAGCAAAACAAACACACTAGTAAGTACATGACCACACTACTTCCCATTACTTCCTCCAGACCACTGAGCAAGTACAGACTGTACTGCTCACAGAGGGGTCCATAATTCTACTCCCAAAAGACTATGTTTCATGAATTTTAGCAAAAAGATACTTACAAAGTGTTATTTTACTAATTCTACATTTAACATATGTTGGGCACTTCTCAATATCTACATAGACCAGATGTTTAGCTGTTTCCACTATGTACACAGCAGTCCAGTAAACGGCGCACATGTAACAAGAGTAGTAATTAAAAAAAATTTAACACAAAAAGAAAAAAATTTAAAGTAAAAAATACAAAATGTATTTTATTACCTCTACCTTGTCATACACTGGTGACCTCTTAGACATCTTGAGTGAATAGATGTCGTAAATTAGGACTCCTTTGTCCTTTATATATGCTATGTAGACAGCAAAGACAAACACAATGGGTCAGGGGTCTCTTTTCCATTCACGGAGCCCAATGGCTCAGAGCTCTGCATTTCCTCCCCCTAGGATCCAGGGCACAAACACAATGTAGTCAGCTTGGGAGGGGTTTGGCTATTCCTTCCCAAACAATACTTCAAATAAATCCTAACAAAAACCTATTTACACAATGTGTTGTTTTTCTACCACTGCTTATAAAATATGTCAGGCACTTTAGAGCATCTAGAAAGATACTTCCAAAAAAACACTCGGTATTGACACACTGACACACACACACACATAAACAGAGGGAGGGGGGAGAAATGAACAAAATGTGTACACAATACAACAGAACACACACACAGACACACACACACACACAAAGATGTCTTCTTCACAGGACCCGTCTGTCTCTGGACCTCTTCCTCCTCCTGGGTCCTCTAACCTATTGAATAAACAAGGACGATTGTCGCTCCTGGAGTCTTTCTAGAGGTGGCCTAAACAATTCCATTTCAAAGTCACCTCTAGAAGACACTTCTACAATGTTTTTAAAGATGACTGGGTACGCACATGTGATTTCCTACCTCTACACTGCGTTGGCAATCTCTATAGCTGTATGTCCAGATTAAGCCAAAGTCTTTCTAAAAGGGTCGGGGTAAAGGTTAGGAGCAGCCTTTTCTTATTATAAACCACGCCAGTCTTGGCCTTCAGGTAGCCGCCATTCTTTCTGCCTTTCCACGATCGATTTCCGACACGTGGAAATGTCCTCGAAGGCCTGGCTGGGGCCTCTCCATGGGCCAGACCCTGGAGAGCAGGGGCGGGTGGATGAAGGAGGCCATGCGCAGAAGCCCTGGCCATCGAGGCCTTTTGTTGACAGGGGAAGGATCACTGCAGCTGCTGTGAGGGTTCAGGCTCCTGGGGTCCACAGGACGGAGTCCAAGGCTGCTCCTGGCTCCCTGGCTCACCCGGCACAGGCCAGAGGCCATGGGGGCCCAGAGGAAGAAGGCCGCACACCCTAGCTTACCAAGCTCTCTCTTCTAGCTAACTCTTAACATCTTGAACTAAACCATATCTACTAATCTGTTTATTGCCACAAGGCTCATGGTTTACCAATAAGGTTCTCTGGAGTCTGTCTCCTTTGGTAGCTACATGGCTTCTCTCTGACGCTTCCTACTCTCTCTCTATATTTCTGTTCAGATTTCCCACCTGGCTATATTTTGCCCTGCCATAGGCCCAAAGCAGATTCTTTATTAACCAATGGTAAAAAGCATATTCACAGCATATAGAAGGGAATCCCACATCATAGCATATTCAGTTATCCAGATAAATTTTATTGGTGAGCTTTTGTCATATTTGAAAAAAAGTATAGAAGCTGGCATTTATAGGCAAGGAGGAATTCATTAAGATGACAATGACTAATTCTTAAAAATCAAAGATTTTAACCCTCCGGCTAACCAAATCCAAAACCAATCAAATATTCTTTCTAATAATTGTCCACTAAACTGTCCTTCAAGGTTGCATCCATTTTTAACGATCTCTTCTTTTTTTATACATGTTTCATCTCATGTTTCCCTGGCTGTACTCAATGTCCTGAAATTGGGGATTGTCTGACATTCAGCTCTGCATCCCTCAATTTAGATCCAGTTTACAGCTGATAGTGTTAGTTAATAGTACTTAGTGTCTCAAAAATGAATGAAAGAATGAAATAACATCAAATACCATAACAATTTGATGATTTTACCTCCTTAATAACACAACTAAATCTCATATATACATTTTCCATGAAGCTTAAATAATGAATGTTCAGAGAAGAATAGAACTCTTGGTCATTCAAGAAAACTAGAGAGTATTTAAAAAATTAACAAATAATTAGAATTGAGTTACTCCACAAAAATATCAAAATATAGTTTATCTTATATACACTTCAACATCGATCCCATGTTTTCTAATCAGCAATGTACTTGATCTAACTAGAGCTTGCCCTTAGTGGAGAGGTCAAGATTTTTCCAAATTACTGCAAGCTTATCTTTTAAATACAGAACACGGACTGATATTTAGCCTACATCCATCATTTCATTATATTTCTATACATCATTTCTATTTATATGGAATTTTGTAAACATAAAAAAATATCAGTAATGAGTACATTGTGTGTTAATTTCTACATTCTGCATTTTGGCAGAACTTTCCTTACAAAGAATATTTAATAATGTACAATTTCAAAGGCTTCAGAACATTTACGTATCGGATGACTTAATACTATTTCACTCATCTTTTATGACTTTTTTCCACTATCTTCCTCATCACAAGCAGGTATAACTAGTCTTAAGATGCATTTGTTTTAGGTATACCCATTTTGTCTCCAAGTAAAAATTTGATTACACTTTCCCGAATCTGCTTGGTCTTGACTCCATAAACAATTGGGTTCATTGTAGGGGGCAGTAGCAGGTAGAGGTTGGCCACTATGATGTGGATGTGATGGGGAATAGTGTGTCTCCCAAAGCGATGAGTGAAGAAAGTAAAAAAGGCAGGCACATAAGTGATCACAATTGCACAGATGTGAGATGTGCAGGTGCTGAAGGCTTTGTGGCGAGCATCTGCAGAGGACAGACTCACCACTGCTCTCAGGATCATAGTGTAAGACACAGAGATACAGCAAATGTCAAACATGCCAATCAGGAGAGCAACCATAAGGCCATAGATTGCATTGACCTTGGCATTGCCACAGGATACCTTGGCCACAGACATGTGGTCACAGTAAGTGTGGGGGATAAGGGTGCCTCGGCAATAGGGCAAGCGCTTGGTGAGGACAGTGAATGGAAAGATGAGCATCACACTCCTCAAGAAAGTAGCAAGACCAGCTTTGGCAATCACAGGATTGGTAAGGATGGTGGTATAACGCAGAGGATAGCAAATGGCTACATACCGGTCCAGGGCCATGAGCATGAGCACCCCAGATTCCATTCCAGTCAACATGTGGACAAAGAACATCTGAACCAGGCAAGAATTAAATCCAATCTCTTTGAAGTTGAACCAGAATATGCACAGCATATTGGGCACAGTAGTAGTGCACAGGGTGACATCAGTGAAGGAGAGTAAGGCCAGGAAGTAGTACATCGGCCGGTGCAGAGCCTCCTCATGGCCAATGAGGTAGATAAGCCCACAATTCCCCACAACAGCAATCATGTACATGAAGCAGAATGGCAGAGAGATCCAGACATGTGCATCTTCCAGCCCAGGAACACCATTCAAGATAAAGAAGTCTGGGGTCAGGCTGGAGCTGTTGGCTCCCAACATAATGGCTGGCAGGATAAGCACATTTTATACCCAATAATAGTGTCAGTGCTCTGGGGGAAGTGAATAAATAAAAGGAAAGTGGAGGGCTTAGAAAACAAACAATAGCATTAACATAAGAAATACTTTAAAATGTTTGCAGCATTCTATGTAACTTCATAGTCTATTGCCACATTTCACTTGACATGGAATATGATGCTAAGTAGTTGATTAACCAATTTATGATTCAGATTTCATACTCCATAATGATATAGCAATGCATAAAGCTCAGAATATTGACAAGATTATGGAAAATATTAATTTTATACAAAGTTCTAAGATGATAAACTAGGAATATTCCATTAATATAAGCAGTAATCATTATTGTTATTATTGAGCACCCTATTACAAAAGGAAATGCTAGTTTCTATGGCCTCCAAGCAATTAAAATTTGTCCCCATGTGTCAAATAGCGGGAAAAAACCATATCTTTAAATCTGGACTGGAATCCAGGAAGTTTTCTCAGATTTCCTGAAAGGCTGCTGTTGCTAAGAGGATACTAAGATATTAGCCACTGAAATGTCTGTAATAGAACTAGTCTTTGTGTTTGGAATGTACCTTAAATGTCTCTATCCTAACATAGCCGGAGGTTACAGAAGCAGCATCAGAAAAAAAGGGGGCAGGACATCTGCAGAGATCTGAGCTGTTGGGTCTGCATTCTGCTCACAATGTAAAGAACAAGCACAGCAACCCACTGTCTCCCAGGCATAATGAGTAATCAAAGTCTACCCACAATGCCCAGCACATCCCAGACATACAAATCAAACCCAACTCTTCCTTTGCCTTCCTCAGTACAGAGAATTTTGTCTTGAAATTTCCATGTCCGGTTTCTGGGTCCACAGTGTTCTACAGTTATTTTGCACTATTAATGGCACTAAAATATATTCCAAAGAAGAAAAAAAACTAATTTTCTGAAAGTCTATTCTCTAAAAATATGAACTTATTTTTATAACATACTTAAGTAGAGATGTAGGGGACCTAACCTGGAATTAAAGCAACACAAAATAACAGGATAGATCTGAATTTGAAGAAACAAATGATTGTTTATACATTTTTTAGAACCTTTAAAGGGAATAACTCCCTAGTACTACAAACCATAGATATGTTCATACAGCAAGATAAGAGTTTACTCAGTGCCTGGAATTTAGTAATTGATGTATATTGATCCTATATTGTAAGATATAGGATAAAGCATATGCTATTCATTGCCTTGATATTTGCCTTAGACATTCCTGACCTCATTCTAATCTGGGGAAGCATATTAATTATCAAATAGGCAACATTCCATATATTTATGTTACTAATACTGCAGGGCAGGTTAATTCTTGTACTCAGACCTAAATAACACAGATGTGTCTTCACTGTGTAGATTAGCAAATAAATGTTCAGGGTGACAACATTTAAAGTGGCACGGCAATGATCAAATGGAAGCACGGGTTCTCAGTCACACATTCAGTATGTGTGTCTGTGACCGAGTGTCAGACCCTAACGCTGACGGGCAGTTTCACCAGCTGAGTTTAGTAAAGTACGAGAGCATAAGAACATGATTTTTAAATGCAGGGCAGAGGAACCTGGCCCGTAGCTGTAACTTAGGGCAGAGACAGAGCAGATGTGAGGAGCCAGGGAGAGTTGGTTTCTTGCTGGGGGATCTCTCCATGCATTAAATATCTCTGAGAAAGCTGCAGTCTTGCCTGTGTGTGGGATATTACTTAGGAGAATTTCTGCAGAGAAGCCTCCTTCAGCCAAGTCCTCTCAGTATCTTTTAGCATTAAGTCTTGTTTTGTATTACTGCCCTCTTCTCCTACAAAGGTTGTTTCTGCTGGAAGCAAATCTGAGCATAACTATTTACTAGTTAGGGTACAGAAAATAAATTTCCTTCCAGCTGCAGCCCATGACTACTCAAATGTCACTGATTCCAGTGAATTGTGAAGTCAAGTTTCCTATTGCTTCCCAGTTTTGGGAGCCTTTATTCAATTCTTTCCTAGATGAATAGATATGTACTCTAGGAGTTGGTAGAAGTTTTGTTGTCTGCATCTCTTGGATTTTTTTGAACTTCAAGTTTTTCATTTTCTGAGAGTAAGAGTCATTGGAAGTCACTCAGACTTACCTCAGTGCTAGGAAAGACCAGAGCAGTGTACATGCCTGAGAGTTTGCACATAAACGGTTCTCCCCCTACCCAGCGTTGCTGTATCATTTTGAGTGGTCTCCAGGATGGAAAGTAAGCATTTGATTGGATCTTTGTAGTCTCAGAAGACTGTGGTTGGAGAGATAAAGTCCTTTGGGATTTTTGAGATAATTTTAACATTTATTTCATCTTCAAGCACAAGTGAAAGTAGGGAAAAATTATAGCAAAATTGCATATCCTTTCCCAGGGGTAGATTCTGAAAACAATCTGAGAGGGAAAACATTTGTCTTTCCTTTTATTTACATTTTTTAAAATTCAGTCTCATGACATCTCAGTACCTACTATATATGTGCATATGTGTATGTTTGTACATTTTTACTTATACATTTTATTTATTTTATTTGTACATCTTATTTATATTCAAATGTATTTTATAATTTTGACAAAAAGGGAGACTTGATAAAGATATAATCAGACATACTATCTAAGAGTAATGTAGAAAGTTTATGTTTTCAGTTTATTGATTAAATTAATGAATACGTGTGTCTACATCTACATGAATAAACACACATAAATGTTTGTTTTGTGTGAATTTGTATATAATACACCTATATGTTTTAGTGGTTGGGTTTCTCTCTTACTATTTTATTGTTAGGAAAAATGATACGACAATTTCAAAACAAATGATTAAGATGCTTCATGTCATGGTGAATTACAATTTATTTAAAAATTTTGTTTGAGAATTTCATACATGCATATAATGTATTTTGATCAAATCACTCCCCATTTCCTCCTATACAGTTCTTCCCCATGTAGCTATACCAATTCCCTCCCAATTCATGTGCTACTTCAAAAAACCCATTTAGACAATTTAGTTGTGCCAGTATGTACTAGAGCACAGGTAACCTGCCAGGGACTGCATTTCTGTCAAAAACAAACAAGACAGAACAAAATACCAAACACTTCATTTCCCACATGCAATCAATTGTAAATGGCTCCTCAGTACTTTGTGACCTCCCCCACCTCCCCATCCACACCTCAATCTTACACAGGTCAAGAACTCACTAAATACAAAACAATGTAGAAAGGCTTCTTTCAACTACACTGAATGTGTATCAGCACCAATGCCTGTAATTTTCAGCCTAACAAATCAACTGAGAAAGTGTAAAATGGCACAACCAACGAAGAAATTTCAGTAGTTCTGCACATGCCATAGTTATGATCTGGAGTTATCATTCTCAGATTTTGTTGAGAATAAGTGAAAACATTGGTCCACAGAGGGATATGTATGAATGTTTTTTATTTTATATTTTAAATTTCATTTTACATTCCATCTGCAATTCTCCCCACTCCCTACCTCCTGTGCCACTGCCTCCCCCCCCCCCCCAGCTCACGCCCCATTCAATCCTCCCAGTGGGGTAAGGGCTCCCATGGGAAGTCAGCAAAGTCTGGCACATTAAGTTGGGGTGGGACCAAGCCCCTTACCCCTGCATTAGGGCTGAGTATGTTTGAAAACTAAGTATAATGCATGAGTTATAAATAACTACTACTATTTATTTATTTATTTATTTATTTATTTGCTGAGCTATATATTTTTTCTCCTTCCCTCCCTTCCTCTCCCCTCTCCTTCAACCCTCTGCCATGGTCCCATGCTCACAATTTACTCAGGAGGTCTTGTCTTTTTCTTCTTCCCATGTACATTAGATCCATGTATGTCTCTCTTAGGTCCTCTTTGTTGTCTAGGTTCTCTTGGACTGTGAATTGTAGGCTGCTTTTTTTTTTTAAAAAAACTTTATGTCTAAAAGCCACTTATGAGTGAGTAACTACTGCTATTTATACAATGGCATGCCATTCAGAGATAGTGAGTTTATTTTTGTTATAATGTATGTATTAGTGAGGTTTGGATATTGAAGACATCTATTACTTTGTGTTAAGATGGATCTTTGTCTTTAGTTTTATGACATTGGGTATACTCAGGAATATGTTGCAATGTCTTCTTAATGAATTCCTCCTTTAATTGATATTGTTTGATTCAAAGTGAGACCCCCCAGCCCCCTGACACTCCTATATCCAAGAAGTTTGGGATGATTGGAAGCATCACCCCAGCCCCTGGCCTGGGAGTTGACTTGGTCTGTACTCCAACTCCCAGCCTGCCAAGTACTGACTCCTCCCACGGGAGGGTCAGGACCACTTTCACAGGCTATTTAGGCTCCAGCCAGAAAAAGGAACATATGGTCTCTGGGGTTTGCGTGGGCTCCTCTCCCCACCATGCTGTCCTGGTCCACCCAGGAGTGTGACATTCATTAAATGTGGGCATTTTCGATTCAGTCTAATCTGGTTTAATTGGAGTTATTTCGCGTCGGCAGAGAGGCTTTGCTTAACAGATATAATGTAAATTTCTTTATCTGGTCTAACTAGTTTTGGCTTGAAATCTATTTTTTATAGCTATTTTAAAAAAGTCCCAGTGCCAGGCATGAGAAAACTTTCAAATATTTGGTTCAGATACTTCAATTGCCTCCCCAAACAATATAAGTTATTAATGTAGCCCTTAGTTGCTTCTTAGTGGTTGATGGTGGGCCCCTACCTATTGATACAGACACTATACAGTCAGAACACAGGACTCAGATGATTCAGAGTGGATCTGACCTGAGAGTCTCTTTCCTGTGGTCTAGTTTCTAGTTTCTATGGCTCCTTAAAATACTATGTAAGCTGCCGAGGGAGGGGAGCAATTAAAAGTCCTACCTAGCTACAATACCTATGAACCGCAATTTACCAACATAGTAAGATATACCTAAAAGTCAAATAAGTGGCACTCACGTGTCAGAGACAACCAATGGCCG